TATTTTTTTTTGGTCAGTCGTGGGAGCTGAACTCTGGGCCTGGGCGCTGTCCCTCAGCTCTTCAGCTCAAGGCTAGCACCCTACCACTTGAGCCACTGTGCCACTTCTGGCTTTTTTCTGCTTATGTGGTGCTGAGGAATAAAGCCCAGGGCCTCATGCATGAGAGGCAAGCACTCTATCACTAAGTCGCCTTCCTAACCCTGGTTAAGTATTTTTGATCTTATTTATCTTCTCAAACAACCAATTACTTGTTTCATTATTTTCATGATTAATTCTTCCCAACTACATTTACTTGCTCTTATTTTCTGTGAGCTTGAGTTGCATCATTAAATTAGTTATTTAAAGTCTGTTTCCTTTTAAGTTTTAAATTTGAATTAGTGTACATTTGAGATATGCACAGGTTTCATTGTGGTATTTTCATACTTAAAACAGTGAACTTTGAGCTGGTGCTGGTGGCTCATGCCTGTAATCCTAGCTACTCAGGAGGCTGAGATCTGATGATCATGGTTCAAATCCAGCCCAGCAGGAAAGTGCTTGAGACTCTTTTTTCTTTTCTTTTTTTTTTTGGGGGTCCGGTCGTGGGGCCTGAACTCTGGGCCTGGACACTGTCCCTCAGTTCTTCAGCTCAAGGCTAGCACTCTACCACTTGAGCCGTAGTGCCACTTCTGGCTTTTTTCTTTTTGCTTATGTGGTGCTGAGGAATTGAACCCAGGGCCTCATTCATGCAAGGCAAGTGCTCTACCACTGAGCCACCTTCCCAGCCCATCCTCGAGACTCTTATCTCCAATTAACTGGCTAGAAAAATGGAAGTAGTGCTGTTGCTCAAGTATTATTGCACTAGACTTGAGCTGAAGAGCTCATGGCCAGTGCCGGGCCCAGAGTTCAAGCCCCAAGACTGACAAAAACGAAACAAAACAAAACAAAAAACCAGTGAACTTTGAACATATTCTCCTCTTCTACCATGTTATCAATCCTCTTCTCCTTATTCTTCTCTTTTTTAAGTATTATTTCTTGGGTTTCAATATTTATGTATATGTACATAATATATGTTTATGCATATACACATATATGTATACAAACACACATGTGAACATACATATGTTTTCACACATGGATATATGTGTATACCTATTATGTGTATACCTATACATATGTATACCTCTCCTTTGCCTCAAAGGTTCTGGTAAGTTGTGTTTTCAGAATTTTTCTGATATTTTCCCATACTCTTTTGATGACCCAGTGATTATGCATATGTGTAGATTAGTCTCCATGTTTTTGTATATTTTCTGTAGTGTCTCTTTTTCATTTCTAATTCTATTATGGTCTGAGATTTTTCTTTATGTTCTCAAATATGATCTATTTTTCAGATGGTTCTGTGGGCTGCTGAGAATATGTATCCTGTTGGTGTTGAGTGAAATATTCTCTGAAATATCTGTTAAGTCTGTTTGATAAAGTAGCACTCAATTCTGAAGTTTCTTTGTTGATTTTTTTTATTTTTAGTTATTTTTTGTGGCCAGCATGTTTAATAAAGTCTCAAATCAGAACAAAAGAAAACAAATACAAATAAAATGAGAAAACCTTGATTCACCAATTATAGCTGAACAAGAAGCAACCATCTAAATAGCAGGGATTGGGGGCCAATCTATTTACCTGTGTCTACTTGGTAACTCTTCAAGATGTTTTTCTCATACCAGTTGCAATTGGCTGTTCTCCAAGAACACTGGAGTCGCAATGATAGATATGAAAATAAAGAGCTGTCTCAGCAAGGCAAAATTTACTCTGCAAAAGAGTTCACCATCAGCCCAAAACCTGGCAAGCCAGCACACAGGTAGGCTGCTCCCCTATTTATCCCCTCTGCTTAGATTGGTTGTGCTCAGGTTCACAAACTGCTTGTGATTAGCTAGTTTGAATAGGGTAAAATGTGACTTTGAAATACAACTAACAATATACAAGTAATCTCAAAATATACCCACACCCTCCGTTATGTTTTAGACAACCCGTGGTGTGTCTTAATTCCATCTTGAAAAGAAACCAGTTTAAGATAAAACCTTACATTTCAAAAATCCTTCCTAATCCCAAAGTAGTTCCTCTTTTCCTTAACAAGAGCCAAGTCACCAGGCCAAGGCAGAATCTTCTAAGCAACACACTTTGATAGAAAGGACAATTTTTCTCACATTTCCCCACTCTTTCTTATTTATTTATTTATTGTCATGGGGATTGAACCCTGAGTCTGGGCACTGTCCCTCAGCTCTTCAGCTCAAGGCTAACGCTCTTCCACAGTGCCACTTCTGGTTTTCTGGTGGTTTATTGGAGATTAGAGTCTCAGCTTCCTGACTAGCTAAGATTACAGGTGTGAGCCACCAGTGCCTGGCTCCCACTCTTATTTTGTATGGTTTTCTTCAAGTTCTTTTAACATTGATCTCCACATGAATTTGTCCTACAATACCCAATTAAAGCCATTGTTCCAATTGCAACAATGAGTGGCATTAGAACTGAGGTCAACATTCCAGTTGTTTACCTCTGAATTTTTAGTTGATGGTCCCATCTGGGACTGCATTTTTGAGGAAGAAGGTAAAACCTTCATCCCTTAATTAAGACACATGCCCCCCCATTTTTCCTGATAGAATAATCTTAAGAACCATCCAGTTTTCCTATGCCATCTTGCTAGATGGATTTAATTATTTCTGGCCTTATTCTTAGTTTTTGAGTTAAATATTTACCCCTCCCCATGTATCACCATTCCTTCTCTCTTCTCCCCACTTTCAAATAGTTCTTGGTGGATTTAATTATGCTGTATACACACACACACACACACACACACACACACACACACACACACAAATACACATATATATCTTCCAATTCCCTTCACCTCTTGGTACTCTCCTTCTCTCCTTCCCCTTCTCTCAGATCCCTTTCTAGACAGTCCCCCTTTTACATTTTATATCCAGTACCATTACTTTAATCATCATAAACCATTTGGATTCTGATGCTACTTGTTTCCAATAACTTGGTCAGTTTTCTTATCCCTATGAAGATGAGAGACTCAGTAGATAAATTCTTTATTTTTATTTCAAACTAGAATATTTGCATTCAGTTTTGTAGAAAATAAAATAACCTCTTAAATGCCTTAGCAGGATCTGTCTTTTTCAATAAGTATTTCCATGGAAGATGAAACTTTATAATTTCTGAGTTAAGATTAAGCTTCTAATTTGAGACTATACTACATTTATTTACTCAGAAACAGTTTCTAGAGCAAGTAGCTGTTTACCAGACAGAGGAAAGGCTTCACTGAGAAAGTGATACTTAAGAACCCATTTTAGTGAAGGGAAGTAAAGGAACAAGACTTGAGAATAGTTGGGGCAATAGTTTTTTTAGGGGAGGACACATGAAGAACAAATAGCTTTTTACCATAAACGAGGAGGTAACAATGCTTGATAGGAAATGGACTCATTACCTTGTTCATGTAACTGTAACCCCTCTGTACACTATATTTACAATAAAAATATATATTAAAGAAATAAAGGAAAATGTCACAATAAGGGTAATAAGTACTTTGTATAAAAGTAAAAAAAATTAGGTTTTTACCCTGCACCCCCTTTTTTGTGATACTGGAGTTTGAACTCAGGGACTTACTCTTTATTTTATTTTATTTTTGTATATTTTTTATTGTCAAGGTGATGTACAGGGGGGTTACTGTTATATACGTAAGGTAATAAGTACATTTCTTGTCAAACTTGTTACCTCTTCCCTCAGTTTTCTCCTACTTTCCCTTCTCCCAACACCCCACCCCCAAGTTGTACAGATCATTGCTAACATATTGTCTTGTGTATATTGCTATTGCCCTGGTTTCCCCTTTGTCCTTTGTCTTACCATTCTGTTGTTCCCCTTCCCTTCCCAAGTAGTATATATCTAGGATAATCTTAGCAGATGAGCAGAAAGCTCAATAGCTATGTATATATGGCCATGTAAAATGATGTTAAGTGAAATAAACTCCCAAGACATGGACACAAGAGGTTATTCTTTGTTGTTGTTTTTAATATACTATGTGATTTGTTGTTTCTTTTGTGTGTTCTTCCCCCTATGGTATATCCCCTGTTGTCACTGTATTTGATTTTGGTATGCTGGTATTGTATATATGTTTATTTGAATTAGGGAAGGGATTTATTCTTGCTAGTCAAGAATAATCAATAACATCAAATAAAAGTATTATTTGATGTTTGTTTTTTTTCTTACTGTTTGTTTTTTTGTGCTAGTCCTGGGGCTTGAACTCAGGGCCTGGGTACTGTCCCTAAGCTCTTTTGTTCAAAGCTAGCACTCTACCACTTGAGCCACAGCTCCATGTCTAGATTTTTTTTCATGATTAATTGGAGTTAAGAGTCTCAGGGACTTTCTTTCAGGGCTGGCTTTGAACTGTGATCTTTAGATCTTAGCCTGAGTAGCTGGGATTGAAGGCCTGAGCCAGTGGCACCCAGCTTGGACTAGTTATAATTAAGATGGGTTCTTGAAAACTAGACTGTGACTTTGAACCATGTACCACCCATAAAATTCTACTTTAATTTGTTTTGAGTTGAGAAAAAATATATATTTGTTCTTGGTCTTCCAGACCAAATTCACTATCTCCTACTTTATGCCCAGTCTGTATGTTAAGATCAATGAATCTGAATGTGTTTTGTTTTAATGCAGTTAGAATTGGTCCTGAGTCTAATGTCTTGACCAACATCCAACTTTCCTAGTCTTATCATCTCTTATCCTTGCAGATGACTTTGCAATACCACTCTGCATTCTTCCTAGATTTGATCCCAGAAACCACATTTTGACTTTTGGTACCTTGTGCCCCCCAACACTTGAATTAGATTGAATACACATACCGGCTGAATCATGTCATTGATGAAGAGAATGCTCATCATTTCCTTTCTCAAGGCCACATCTCTGTCTATGGTCAGCTGCTTTTATTCTAGATCTATACAGCCTGGCTTTTAGATCTGGAAAAATACTATTTACGAAGTACAGCTTTTCCTAAGGCCAAACAGTCTCCACAAAGCTCCCTTCATATCCTTGTTTCTTAGGCTGTAGATAAAAGGATTTAACATAGGGGTGACCATTGTATATACAATAGATTCCACCATTCCAGTATCTGCAGAATAGGAGGATGAAGGCTGGAAATAAACCAGAAATACAGTTCCATAGAAGAGAGTGACAACTGTCAGATGAGAACCACAGGTGGAGAAGACTTTATGCTTCCCCCCAGCAGAGGGAATCCTGAGGATGGTGTGTATGATGTGAGCATAAGAGACCAAGACACAGACAAGAGGGATCACACCCGAGAGGGCAGTGTCAATGAACATCATGAAATGAAAGGTGTGGGTATCTGAGCAGGCAAGTTTAAGTAGGGGAAGAAGATCACAGAAAAAATGTGGGATGGAATGGGAGGCACAGAAGGAGAGTTGAGCCATCAGGAGAGTGAGGGAAAAAGCTAGGAGGTTGGAGAAGAGCCAGCAGGTAGTCACCAGCAGCAGGCATCGTTGGAGACACATGATGGTGGTGTAATGCAGAGGAAGGCAGATGGCCACATAGCGATCGTATGCCATCACAGCCAGCAGGAAGTCATCCAGCAGTGCCAGGGCCATGAAGAAGTACATCTGCATGAGGCAGCCAGTGCGGGAGATGGTGCGGTGCCGTGTGTGAATGTTCACTAACACTTTGGGGACAATGGTACAGGTGAAACAGGTATCAATAAAGGACAGATTGGCCAGGAAGAAGTACATAGGGGTGTGGAGGTGCTGGTCACAGCCAATGGCCAGGATGATGAGCAGGTTCCCCAAGAGGGTGACCAGGTACATTCCTAGGAAGAGCCCGAACAGAAGGGTTTGCTGCTCTGGATGTTCAGAAAAGCCCAGGAGCAGAAAATCAGAGATGATAGTTTGATTCCTAATGTCCTTCAAAGGTAGAGAGATCAAAGGGAATTCTAAGTAAATAAACTAGGCAGAGTCCAAGGATTTTGCTTTTTCCCTTTTCCTTGGGGAAATTAATGAGAATGGCTAGCGATTATGAAGTTCCTTGTTATCAGACTGATCTTGGTCAACTATTCAATCTCTCTGAATTTCTGTTTCCTACTTTGTACCACTGTAACTTCTTTATTGAGTATTGAAGCTGTTTTTGAGATAATGTATGTGAAAATCAGTTCATCATGGACCATTATGATGATGGTCATTATTATTAGTTGTTCATTTTTATATTTTGCAATATCAGAGAAACCTTCAGACCAGAAGCTTTTCATTTCTATTCCTCATATGACTCCTATGTTTAGGATTTTTAAGTTCCTTTTGAACTTTGCTTTTCTTACCTAAAATATAGACAGCAATCTTACCTGATAGATTTGTTGAGGGGACCAAAACCTGGAGTCATTGGCAGTTTCTTCATGAATCATGATGTACAATCAAAATGAGAAGTTCTAGCATTCCTTTTTCATGGAGTAGAGAAAAAAAAATTGATCATTCAGTGGTGGCAGGTGCTAATGTCCTGCTTGTTTAATTTGGTGATTAAAATATAGTATTTTTATTATATTAATATAAGATATTGATAGATTGGACCTTTTATTTATGAAAGCCAAATTAAATACCATTGTGAACTATTCAGAATAAGGGTGGTTCATAAGGTCTTAGTAAATATTATGCATTTTTATTATTGTTATTTTCAGTAAGAGAGGGTGTTTTGTTCTTACTATTGGCAACAGCTTCAGTGTTAGCCTTTAAATTGTGAGTTGTCTGTATTAAGAGTCACTAACACCACTCTTATCAGCAGCACAGCTAACGAATGATCATGATTTTACTCAGAACTATCAATGGCAAAACCTTCTTTATTGAACATCTAAAAGCTTCATTATCATTGTCATTGTTAAGAACACGGACATTCGAGTCATTACTAAATGACCCCATGCTGCTGACCACATATATGGTATATATGTGCACATTGGAGGGAAACTAGGAGGAAGACACAGAACCAGAGGGAAACGGGAAAACAAAACAGCGGGACGCATCAACTGCACTGGACATTGATTAAAACGAACTAAGCAACTCAATGGCAGTGATGGGAGGGAGGGAATGAGTGGGAAAGAGGGAACAGCTGACACGAAGCAAAAGGAAAGGAATATACACATCACCTGAAGTGGAAGAAATACCTGCATTGTCGAAGCTCATAGAACTCATAAACTTTATATACTATGATAAAGACAATTTGCTCTTTGAAGGTTAGAATGTGTTTGTGACTTTAACTAAGTATCACTATCCCACAATACTGTGAAATTTATGTAATCACTTAATCACAATAAAAATTGCCAAAAAAGAACACAAACACTGGGCTTAGACAACCTACACTCAATGCTAAAAACACTTATTTTGGCATCTGGAACCCAAGTCTAGATTGGTCAAACAACATTATATGCATGTGCTTGTTTATGTATAGATGGCGGATGTGGGCATTAGGTGGATTCTGTTTTCTCTGTCTGTTACTGTACTTTGTTCTTACCTGGATGTGCGGACCAGCTTCACCTGGAAGATTGAGTTTACCACCCCATTATCACCCCAAGATAACATGGTGAAGTCACAGAGCTCATCCTGTATGCTGGAATAGCACAGACCAGAGTCTTATACCCCTTGTGATACATCATGCATACCTATCAGGAGGATCTGCTGGGCTTTCATATGCATGTCTCCAGGGATTCAATCCCAGAACTGTTTAGTTAGACGAGATGGAGCAATAGTCCAATGGCTGGCTGTCCCCTCTGGACTGTGGTCCTCTGCGTCTCTTCCATGTCTTCAATGCCTCCAAATTGACCAGATCTGGGAATAGCTGGGTGATGGCTCCTGCTTTTCCCTTGGATTACCAGCAGGTTGGCTTTGTCGTCCTCAACCCTTAAACTGAGCAGAGCTCTTCCCTGCCTGCCACAGAAGTCAGTTTCTAATAAGAGCCCAATATTCATGGATAGACATAGTGTGTTACAGGAAAGTCCTTTCCTGAATTCATGAAGGTATTTTCAGTGATAATTAAAAAAATAATTTGCCTTAAACAATTAGCTGTTTACTCTGTTTAGAATTATTATTAATAGTAGTCTTGCTGTGGAATGAATCTAGGACCTCTTGCTTGCTGGGCAAGTTACTTCCCTAGCTACAGAACTGTCATGTATGATATGAACGGTGGGGAGAGGACTACTTATTATTGTTAAGTTTTAAATAATATACCATATTATGGATTCTAGTGGTGCATCTATAGACTTATTACAATGAATTACAGGAAAATGTCATCTGTGAATAAAATGAAGATTTCTTTCTTTCTTTCTTTCTCTCTCTCTCTCTTTCTCTTTCTTTCTTTCTTTCTTTCTCTTTCCTCTGTCCTTCCTCCCTCCCTTCCTTCTTTCTCCTTCCTTCCTTTTTCTCCTTCCTTCCTTCCTTCCTTCCTTTCTTCCTTCCTTCCTTTCTTCCTTCCTTCCTTTCTTTCTTTCTTTCTTTCTTTCTTTCTTTCTTTCTTTCTTTCTTTCTTTCTTTCTTTCTTTCTTTCTTTCTTTCTTTCTTTCTTCTGTCCTTCCTCCCTCCCTTCCTTCTTTCTCCTTCCTTCCTTTTTCTCCTTTCTTTCTTTCTTTCTTTCTTTCTTTCTTTCTTTCTTTCTTTCTTTCTTTCTTTCTTTCTTTCTTTCGTTCTTTCTCTCGTCATGGGGCTTCAACTCTGGGCCTAGGCACTGTCCCTCCCTCAGCTCTTCAGCTCAAGGCTGGTGCTCTACCACTTGAGCCACAGTGCCACTTCCAGTTTTCTGGTGGTTAATTGGAGATAAGAGTCTCATGGACTTTCCTGTCCAGGCTGGCTGTGAACCTCGATTCTCTGATTTCAGCCTCCTGAGCAGCTAGTATTACAGGAGTGAGCCAATGGCCCCCAGCTAAGATTCCTTTCTTTATAGTACTGATACCTTTTATGTTTCTTGTCTTAATGTAGTGGTTGGAGCCAAATAAATTGTAAAATAGTTGTGGTAACAACTGACACTTTATCTCATTCTTAATTTAGACAGGGGATGTTTTATTATGATCTCTAAATAGTTGTGCAGAGTGGTTTCAATTCAACATGTCATTTTTTCCCATCTTTCTCCCTCCCCCCATATATCCCAAGCCTGCCATTCCCTTAAGATACATAGTTCTATTTTCATGTATGTACATTGACTATTATGACAGTATTCTCCCATCATTCCTCTCTCTGTTCACCCACATTTTCTGTTTAACCTATATCTCTCTCAGATAAGATAGATCTTAGTTCCTGGTATTCACTTTATTAAGCTGTGTATAAATTGTTCAGAGGAGTTATACCACAGGAGTCCACACTTGCACACATCATATTAAGTCAGTTTGATTGTGGATATATGCATATGGTCCCAGATGTGATTTCACGCATGTTTACATGGGAAACTATAGATAACTTCTACACATGTGAAGAACAACACTCTCTCTCTGATCCTGACTTAATCACTCAATGTAGTTTTTCTATGTTCATCCATTTCCCTGCAAGTAACACAATATTAGTCTTCCTGATGGATGAATAAATCCCATTACTTGATCCACTCATCTGGTATAGGGTGCAGAATTGTTTCTTTAACTTTTCTGTGCTGAATAGTGTAGCAATGAACGTGGGTATGAGGGTTAGACTAGGGAGGTTTAAATGTCCCACTATTAAATATAATATTTGCTATATATTTGAAGAAAGGGTACCTTTTTTTTAAAAAAAAAGAATAAGTGGATTTTCTCCTATCCCCACTTTGTTGGAAGAATTTTTAATGAGTAGACATTGAGTGTGTCAAATAGTTTTACTTGCATTTATTGAAATGTTTTGTCCATTTTCTATTAACACATTGAGTTACTTTAATTTTTCAGTTTATCAACCTTGCATTTTTGATACATATTACAAGTTCTGTGTTGTCATTGCATTGCTAAAGTTTTATTCTGGTGCATTTATATTGATGAGTAAGATTTTCTTGTTTTAGTTCTTTTGCAATATTTTCATTGGTGTTTGGACTGTAATTGTCCATAGTCTCATGAAGGGAGCTGGTGAATAGTAATTCCTTGTCCCTATTCTTAAAAGGCTTTCATCCCCATCTCTCTGCTAAGTTCTTCTATTGGTGTTTAAATTTTTTTTATTCTTTGTCTTTTCTGGATATTTATCCTCTATTGGATGAATAGCTGGGAAAAATGTTCTTCAATTGTATGGGCTATCACTTCACTCTGTTGGCTCCTGTGCTGTATAGCAAGTTTTTAATTTGATACACTCTCTTTGGTCAATTTTTATTATCTCACGACCCCTGGAATCATCGACTCTGCCTATGTCTTGGTTGTTTGCCTTAAGTTTTCCTCTGATTATCTCAATATTTCTGGTCTTACCTTATGGTCTTTGATCCATTTTGAGTTGGTTCTGGAACAGTTTGGGAGGTAGAGCTCAAATTTCAGACTTCCACATGTGGATATCCAGTTTTTCAAGCAAAACTTGCTCAAAAATCTGTCTTTTTCCCAGTGTATCTTTTTGGGTATAGCTTCATTGATTTATTTCTGTGTCCAAGAAGGGTCAATGGAATTAAGCCGGGCTCTCTCTGTAACTTCTGGTGTGCATTAGACCTATACTTCCCCAGGACTGTGATTCAGTTGGTTTATTATATTTCTATAACATTGTAATCAAGTACACATACACTACCTTAGAAAACTTTGAGGGCATGTTTGGTCAGTTGTCACTTTTGGATAAGGGAAGTAAAAAGATGCAGCGTTGTTGGACAGGCTGCTGCTAGAAGGAATGTGAGCCTTTGAGCAGTGTGTGCCACAGCTGCTTCTGTCTATAGATAGAGCTGGGCATAAGCAAGAACACCATTCCTACCATGTCTCGAATTTTCCTGTGGCTTG